CGCTTTGTAGCCCAGGCTGGAGTGCAGTGGCGCGATCTCGGCTCACTGCAAGCTCCGCCTCCTGGCTCAGTCACCTGGCTGGGACTACAGGTGCATGCTGCCACATCCAGCTAATTTTTTTTTTTTGTATCTTTAGTAGAGACGGGGTTTCACCATGTTAACCAGGATGGTCTCGATCTCCTGACCTTGTGATCCACCCGCCTCGGCCCCCCAAAGTGCTGGGATTACAGGCGTGAGCCACCGCGCCCAGCCTGGATCTTCACTTTCTAACTCATCTACTACAAATATATTTCTTTTGTGAAAAACAAACATTTTATTTGTAAGTAGGCAAACTAAAGAATGCTACTACAAAACCAAATACAATCTGCTTATGGATTCAGTTACTTCTGACTTCAAAGCAAAGACTTAAAAAGTGCTGTAATTCCATAAATGAGATTTTGGGAAGAGGGTTTAACCTCCTTTAGTCTAGTAAAGAGCATCTAAAAAGTCATACATACTAGCATTTTCTAGGCTAATAATGCAGTTTATTTAATAAACATAGCCTATATTATGCAACCTGGGCTTTGTCACACTTACCCTGTGAATCTATTTCATGTGAGATATCCCACTTAATGGACTGTTTGTCAGAATGATTGAGAGGAAAATTTGCTTCTTGATGGTGTATGGTTTTGACACTTGAAACTGCTATCTTAGTACAGAAGCATTAACCTTACTACACTTTATTTTATTTTATTATGTTTTTAGAGACAAGCTCTCACTCCATCATCCAGGCTGGAATGCTGTAATGCAATTGCAGCTCACTGTAGTGTTGAACTCCTGGGCTCAAGGGATCCTCCTGCCTCAGCCTCCCAAAGTGCAAATTCTTTTATCAGAGAATAAATGAGATTTTAAGCACCTCACTATTTGGAAAGACTCATAATATATAAAACATCTTCAACACCCTCCTGATTCCTCATACAAATGTCTTACCAGAATGCTTATCCTACCTGACAGTTACAAAGCTCATTCTTTTTTCTCTGAATTTTCAATATAGGTTTAATGCTGATATCTGTGCAAGGAAAATGAAGGACAGAGCCCTTGCAAATTCACACACATAGCAAAATAAAATTATATTTATGAAGACTCTAAAGAAGGGTATCTCACTATGCAAAATTCACAAAGGCACTTTACAAAAATCCTGGAGTCCAGGTCTGTGTGAAAAAGCAGGATTTAGGTTAGTTTGGGCCATAATGAAATCTGCATACTTACCTGTAACCAAAGAAACTTTGAGACCAGCAGGGATTTGCTAGAGCACATTCTGTTTTAGAATAGGCATCAAAATCACCCGTGTGGCTTTCTGACACTTTGACTCATGTGCACATGCTGGGGCCCAACCTCTGAGAGGCTCTCAAGTAGGCACAGATTGTTCTGATGCCCAAGCAATATCTAAACAAATATTTGCATGTCTATCATACAATGTATAAGGAGGCACTTTGCCTGGGATACTTAGGGGTTCAACATGTAATTCTTGAGCCTAATCAAGAAGAATACAGTACTCTGAGAGTGACAGGATCAAGCTATTGCAATGACAAGAATATAGCACTGAATGCTGACTGGGGAAATAGAGGAGCCTTCTTAAAATGAAATGCATCTAAGCTAGGCCTTCAAAGATACAGAGAATATTAATAGGAAGGGTGTGACAAATGGAGAGAGCAATAAGAACACAAGCAAGCTGAAGAAGAGTTATTGAGGAGACAAAGCCACAGATGATGTAGCTGGTATCTCCGAGAGAAGAGTTAGTGAGAACCAAAATATGCAAGAGAAGATACGGCTAGGTTATCAGGGGCCTTGAATGTCACTCTAAGAAGTCTGTACAAACAGGTATTTGAGCATAAGATAAATGCTCAGATCTATATTTAGGAAGAGCATTTTAATGGATGAATGAAATAGGGGGTGGATGAGACCACAAAAACCACTGGGAAATTTTGCAATGTATCAAGCAAGAGGCAATGCAAGCCTGAATTACGATGGTGGAAATGTAAAGAAAGGGATATATTTGATACACGCAGAGGTAGAATAGAAAGGAGTCATTGAGGAAATGACAGAGACATCTAAGTTGCTGTCAGGCACCTAGGACAATGATTGGCAAATGGTAGGTGCTCAGTAAATATTTGGTAATGCAATTTAGGAAGTCTCAGACGTTCCCTGACATATGTTACAGCAAAGGAGTAGGGAGGGGATGGAGGAGCTAAGGTTTACTGAGCAGTTGCATGAACGGAGGTGAGGAATAAAAGGGAGTGAATGTAGATTACAGTTTGGATTTAAAAGACAGGGAAAAGACACAATATTTGAGAGAAAAATAAACTAGACACAAGATTAGTTAGGGAGTGAAAAGAGAGCCTTAGCAGGCTAATGAAGGAAACGGGAGATAAATAAAACTGAGGAGATGAGGAGGAATATTAATTACGGAATATCTTCATAAAAACAGAGCAGAAATTCATGCATGTATTTATGATATAAAATTATATAACACTTTTTAATTGTAAAAGCAGATGAACCCAGGATTTTATTTATTTATTTATTTATTTTTTGAGATGAAGTCTCACTCTGTCGCCCAGGCTAGAGTGCAGTGGCACGATCTCGGCTCACTGCAACCTCCGCCTCCCTGGTTCAAGCGATTCTCCTGCCTCAGCCTCCTGAGTAGCTGGAACTACAGGCATGCACCACCATGCCTGGCTAATTTTTGTATTTCTTTAGTAGAGGCAGGGTTTCACCATATTGGCCAGGCTAGTCTCGAACTCCTGACCTCATGATCCACCTGCCTTGGCCTCCCAAAGTGCTGGGATTACAGGCATGAGCCACTATGCCCAGCCCAGTATTTTACTTTCTTTCAAGCCCTAGCTTTCCTCTCAATTCTGTCCCTCCATGCCTACAGCTTTTCCTTTATGTGAACCTCCACAACAAAACATTCACTCCTAATACACAGTCTATCCCTGGAATAATAATATGATGTTTATTCAAAGGCACCTATAGAAACTTGAATAAGTAAACAGATGATCCTAACCAAATCCATCAGAGGGCACTTAAAACATGTGCTCCCAAAGTTCCAAGGCATTTAAAATGACGTGTACGCATTCTCTAATACTAGAAATATTGTGGAATCTTATGAACTGTAAAATACCAAATTAATTAGGTTGTTGAATTACAACCATTTTCCAAATTAGTAAGGCAATGATAGTCATGTGTTAACTTCTCTGTGCTGATGGGGTAAATAATCTATGCTTTTTGTAGCTCAGTTTCCCTCATAAGATGAAGTTAGAACAGACACTGAGTTGTAAGTTATTTTCCAGCTCAGAAATTAAATTTATAAAAGCTTGTTCCTCCATTTTGAATGTATCTCTAAGTAGAAGCTAATTTCAGAAGGTTCCCATTTTCCCACAGGGTTTAAAACCACATCTAATGACCATTATTTTGTTCAACAATGATTTCATTCCCAAAAATGTCTCCCAAAGTAGTTCTGTCTCTTAGAATGTATGTGATCAAACGTGATGAGAATGACTGCAAACTACTAAGAATCTAAGAGAAAATGTTCTTCAAAAAATTTCACCAAGGTCAGGGCATGGTGGCTGATGCCTGTAATCCCAGCACTTTGGGAGGCCGAGGCAGGCAGATCACTTGAGGCCAGGAGTTTGAGAACAGCCTGGCCAACATGGAAAAACCCCATCTCTACTAAAAATACAAAAACTAGCTGGCCATGGTGGTGCATGCCTGTAATCCCAGCTACTTGGGAGGCTGAGGCACGAGAATTGCTTGAACCTGGGAGGTGGGGGTGCAGTGAGCCGAGATCGTGCCACTGCACCTCCAGCCTGGGTGACCCAGTGAGACTGTCTCAAAAAAAAAAAAAAAGGTCCCAGTTGTCAACTGAATTGATATTACTTAAAATGATAACCTGACAAGGGGAGATTTCCTGTCAGTTGAAAAATAACAGGATTCATAGAACTCTAATTTTAAATGTATTTGGGGCTTCCTGGTTCTGTTTTTTTCTCTCATTTGTCTTACTTCTGCTACCCGCTTGGAACTGTAGCATTAGGGCACAAAATCTTTTCCTACTCTATACAGTAGGGAAGAGAAAAAGGCAGAGATCTGCTCCAGATAAGCCACTTGTGTGTATATCTACATAATTGTCCACTCTTAATTTCTTGTACTACTCAGTAATCTGAAAGGTAAAATGAATGCTCCTTGAAGTTGAAATTCAAGTTCCTTAGAATGGTGGTTACTACAGGTTTAGAAAAGAGGAAGGCGGGGGATGAAAAGAAGTTGGCTAAGGGGTATAAAAATACAGTTAGATAGAAGGAGTAAGTTATAGAATTCAACAGTACGGTAAGAAAATTACAGTTAACAATAATTTATTGTCTATTTCAAAATAGAAGAGAAGAATTATAAGTTTCCAACACAAAGAAAAGATATGTTTGAGGTGATGGATATCCCAATTACCCTGACTTGATCATTACACATTACATACAGGTATCAAAATGTCACATGTATCCCCAAAATATGTACAACTATTCTATATCAATAAAAAATTGAAAACTTCAAACTCTTTTTCCAGCACCATTAAATTTGCAAAAATCATGAGACTGCCCCAAATTTTTCACTTTTTTCACTGAGAAAGCAAGATTTGCCTTCCAGCTAATAACATATCACTATGTACTAGAAAACATGTTTTCCATATAAAAATAAGGGAAGTAAGACTACTATTCCCTGCTCATATGAGGGGACAAAATTACAGGGGCTAATTCCTCCTGATTATGTTTGGCAAAGTTTTTCTGTGCTTCTTGTCCATTTTCTGTGAGATACTATATCATAATTTAAAGCTCCAGCTCAAAAGCCACTGTAATCAACTAAGAAAACTTTTATGAAGGTTTCTTGGAATAATACATTTCTTTTCATTACAGAGCACAAATTGGATAATTTAGTGTAGGCAATGAATGAAATAGAGGGTATCTGCCCATACTTCCTACCTCTGTATCTTGAGAATCCTGAAAGATAGGGTTTCTCTTATTCCTTTTGGGCTGGGCAGAATGATGATTGTCCTCTTTACTGCCATTTCTTCTTCTTTTCCTGAAAATAAATTGCAAAGAGAGAGTTGTTAGATGAAACAACTCATCTTTTGGATGCTTAAACTGTAAAGCAATGACAACATACATATATGAGACCTTGCCTGAAAAAATATGTCACTATCTGCTATCCCAAGATATAAAAGTCGTAAGTACTCCATCACCAGGCATGAAGATAAAAATGTAATACAAGAACTCTAAGTAAAGTCAAGCTGTACATTTCATTTCTAGAAATAATTTTTGTAACTTTAAATGACCCTTGAAAATAAAGAATACGAGGAATTTAATAGCTAAGTTTTCAAAATCTACCTAATTAGTTTCATTGTCTTGACTCCACGAAGTTACAATTCCAGGGTAAGTGATTTTGAACCCCTTCAGTAACACTTAAGACATGTGTGTCTGCCAGTGTCTACTATTAAGTTCTTATGCCAGTGGTGTAGCGACACTGAAGAGATATTTCTCGTATTCTGAATGTGGTTAGGCACTTACTGTTGCCATACCAGCTAGTATTATGACATAGTTACTGCACTAGATTGTCACCATGAGATTGTGGCTGATTACTTCCTTGAAACATTCATTTCTCAAAATTGTTTTCAATGATTGGTAAGATTACATCTTCAGTTTCAAGTTCCTTGTCGATAAGTAATCAGACTGCAGCATTTGACATAGTTTTCACAGCACTCTATTATTAATCAGACATTCTCCCCAGCCATCTGCCTAGAGACTACTTTTGAGTTATTGGCACTCCTAAGAATGGCTGAGTTTACTAATTTTTATAATTTCATTACTCTTTAATCAATTCTCATCTCTAGGAGACTACTAGTCATGTAGTGCAGTGATTTCTAACACTCTGTTAAATTAAACTGCTTTCTTTAAGAAAAGAAAAAGCAACACATAATAGGAAAAAAAGGAGTTCCTGTACTTGGAACAGGGGCTCTTTAACCACATCCCTCCCTGGATCTGCCTTCCTGTGCCACCCACTAACATAGCCTGACCTCTCTTCTTAAAACTGAGGAAAGAGCAGGCCCAGAGAAGCACAGTGACTCAGACAGTAAAATGAGTAAGGCTGGTAGAGCTGAGGCTGGAAGGAAAGCTCTCTTTAGCCTTGGCCCAAGGTCCTCCAGGAAAGTTTTCAGGAAGTAAAAGTTAATGAAGAACTGCATGTCCAAATCAAACAATATCTTTATGATAAAGAACTTGCCAGTATAAATGAATTCAGCTTATTTGTGTACAGTGTCTAAAAAGGCACTTTTTTTTGGCAGGAAATGTGACTTTTACCCAGATATGTGAGACATGCTAAAGCAGTTTTAGTGGGATTTGGGGAGAAAAAGACCTTTGTAGTCAGATCAGGCTTGCTTCATAAATACTGTTTACTGTCAACTGTCTGTGTCCCTAATTCCAATAGCATGTTGGTAATTTGGCCCCTAAATTCATAGTTAGTGTATTTTTCTTTATATTGCAAGCTCCTCATTACATGATCTAAATCAATGCAGCAGGCTAGGTTGACTAGCTTTTCACCACTGGAATAAATAACCTTAGGATGCCTTCCAGAAAATAACCTTAGCATACCTTTCAGAAAATAATCTTAGGATGCCTATCCTTCCAGAATCACAGCTCTATGAATTGATCCAGGGCAGGGTCTTTGTCAAAAGATAGCCAATATACTAACAGCTGATCAAAATATGGAGCAACAATAAAACATCCACCGCATCTACCAAGGAAATTCTATGCTACATCTTACTCACCGAAGCCTCAGTGAGATTATTATGAAATGAAAGAAAGAGCCTCGAACCTGGAAAGATCTGGGCTTTGTCCTGAGTCTGTTACCAACCAGCTAAATGGCCTTTGTCAACTGAACTGGCTGAGGCCAGTAAAACTGATTTTTAAGATATCTTAATGTCATAGGCAAATGCTGACTACAAAATGCCGAATAAAAAATCACGTAGAAAACTGCTGCTGTATTACACTCCATGATGACATGATTCATTATATATAAAGAAAAAAAACGACTGGATATAAATATTATTTTATTTCACAATGTTTATTGAGCATCCACTAAGTGCTAGGCACTCCTCCAGGTGCCAGGATAAAAGAGTGAAACAAACACATGCCACAGCTCCTGCCTTCATTAGGGAGCATGGTGATGTTTGTCTTTGATCATGGTATTTTGAGTATTTGAGTACTTTGCGCTCAAGTTTTACTGAAACTTTCAACAGCTTACAATACCTTTGCATTTTTTTTTAAAACACACTAATACTATGAAAATGAATTTTCAAAGTGTGAAGCTGAGTTTAAAAAGCAGAATGTTCAAATTATGAAACAATGTTAATCTCATTTTTTAAAATACAACTTTATGAATGAAAAACATCTAAGGAAATTTATCACAAAATATGATTAATGGTCACGGCTGGGTGATCGGACTGTGGATAAGATTGGCTTCCTTTATTACGCTTTAACAGTCTAACCAAGTTTTCTACCATGAGATTCAGAGACGTTTGTAATGAAAGAATACATTGATAAAGGCCCATAGAACCCTCGTATCACGTGGAGAAAGATGACTAAACCAATCAGAGAAATAGAAATACTAGTTGCTAGGGTACCTAGCAGCCTCACCGAAGAAATGCCAATTTGAAAAACAGAATGCTATTGTCCACTGACTGAGTTTTCGCAAGGGACTACATCCCCACCTCACCCCCGCCTCCAGGGCTTGTAAGGCACTGACAACCAAAGGACCAGCATTTTCTTTCGGAGAAGGGTTCGCGGCATTTTTTTTTTAAGCAAGAAGGGCGGGGCATGAGGCGAGCAGGGCCGCTCCGCCCGGCAACACTGTCACCTGCAGGTCATGAGAGCGCCACCAATCCCGGAAGAAAATACATCTCCGCTGCGTTTCCGCCCCGAGCCGCGAGATCTTGGCTGAGAAAGCAAAGCGTGATGACAGTGGGGACCAGAGAACGAACAGGTACCGGCAAGAAAGGCCCCGACGAACCTACCGTACAGGGCAGCCTCCCATAGCACAGGACAGCCTCGCATCGTCCTGCCCTTGGAACCATAGCAACCACGCAGGAAGTTCCTGCGCCGCCGGACAAACGCAGCCCGGAGGGCGGGGCTGGCCTAGGATTGACGGGCTCTGGGCCTGTGCATCGGAGCCCGGGGAGGTTGGCGCCGGTCTCCTCTGGGTCTGCCGCAGGCTTCCTTCCCTGCTGTTGGGAGCTGACACCTGAGGGACGATCCGCTGAGCGTCAGGATCTGCTGCGCGACTGCCCCAGCCGCCCCATGTTCGAGACCTGTGCCAATCCCATGGACATTCTCCTCCCACCCAGCCAGCCTCTGAACACGCTTCTCAAGTGGTACATGCCCTGTCCTCCTCACAGCCCTCACACCGCTGATCCTCCTCGGCGACCTCAGCGCCCCCGGGGCTGACCAGGCCGTGGCCTGCGCCTCTCTGTCCTTAGGGGGGTTCTCCTCCCACCCACCTAAGTCTCTTCCGCCCGCGGTCACGCCCTGGGCCTCAGGAAAGACCGCCATTTCTTGCATCCCCCACTCTCATAACGGGCAGCACCCGATCCTGTCCTAACAGCTCCCTCTTCCAATGCCCCAGCATCCACAGCCTTCAGCCCCAGCCCCAAGGAGGCCACCTCTCCACTAACCACAACCGCGTTCCTCACCATTTAACCTTCCTTAGCCAGCTTACCCAAAGCTATTAACTCTCTGCCTCCTCCCTACTCTCCTGGCAATCCCCGCCAAGTAGACAATCAATGTACACCCTCCACAAGTGTACCTTCTCTGTCTAGTCTACTTACAAGATCCCTCCACAAGCACCAGCACCCAATTTTCTCATGATAGTCACTGATTTTCCCTTGAGAAAACAGAAACAGTCAGAGAGGAACTCGCACCGCTTCCCAACAGCAGTGGACCTGCACTTGTAATCTTGGCTGCTTCCCTGGAGGAAGTGACAGGATCCTACTTGAGACAAGGCCCTTCACCTGGATCCTATACCCTCCACCTTCTTAAGGGATCATCTTTTGCAGTTATGCTTTCACCTGAATTATCATGTTCCTCTATCTGTATTTTATTATCTATAAAGTTGGCAAAGGGAGTGCTAGAGTTTAGGCTCATCCTGGTTCTTGCTGTTAAGTAGGTGATACCACAGGGGGCTGCATTCCCTGAGGATGGGGGTGGGGAGGGGCAGATGTTGAAAGTGACTGATTCAAGAGCTAAAGATCGTGCCATAAAGGAAGCCTAACCCAGCTAGGGGCTAGGTGACCCTGCAGCCAAGACTGTGGAGAAGACAGCCCTGGACAGGGGACTTTTAGACTGCCATGTTTGTCTCTGCATTGTGCAATTTTAGCAAGAATCCTGCTAAGTTAGTTTAGTTAGAATTTCCCATCATCAGTATCTCAGTTAGGTTCCTCATCCCCCAGGTGATGTCTGGTCACCCTGGCCCACCTTCACCAAGAATCCTGTTAGTTCAATTTAGCCACAATACCCCCTTACCCTTGGTGTTTCCTCTTAGTAATTTTCCATCCATTGCTCCCCACCCTGCTCCTTGGCTATAAATTCCCACTTCTCGTTGTTGTATTTGGAGTGGAACCCAGTTTCTCTCCCTTCACTGCAAAACCCCATAGCAGTGGTCCCTACACCTATCCTGATGGTCCTGAATAAAGTCTGCCTTACCGTTCTTTAACAAATGTCATGAATAATTTTTTTCCTTAACATCCTTCACTTGGATCTCATGCCCTTCCACATTCTCAAGGAATAAGCTTTTGTAATGATCATTCATTTTACTTGAATCACCACATTCTCCATGTCTACTGGATCATGCTATCTTCTACAAAGTGGGCAAATAGATGGTTAGAAATGAGGGATTTTGTTTTCTAGAGCTGATCTTGGTTACTGCTGTGTTGTAGGTGAGACCCCAAGGGGCTGCATTCTCTGAGGAAGGTTCGGGGGCTGGAGGATATGGAGATAGGGACTAGGTTACCCTGCAGCTGAGGCTGTGGAGTGGACAACCCTGGTCAGGGGTGGAAGGGAGGATGAAGCCCAGATTCAGAGGGGTCTGCAGAAGCCAGCACACATGGCCTGAGGCTGAGTCAGCGAGGGAGTACCAGATTCTGACCAAGATGAGAGAGACAAAAATGCAAGTTACACCAGCCACAGACATATTGTGAGCAAATCAGAATCACCAGCAGGATTTGGGAGATAAGTTAGCCTTCCTTCAGAAACCACTGAGGACACTGCAATCAACATGAGACTCCTAAGCAATGCAGACCATCTTGCATTGCTGTAAAGAAATACCTGGAGTCTGGGTAATTTATAAAGAAAAGAGGTTTGAATTAGCTCATGGTTCTGCAGGCTGTATAGAAAGCATGGCGCTGGATTTGTCAGAGGCGTTCGAAGCAGCGCAATTCTATCTTGAAAAAATAGGAAAAATCTAGGAAAAATGAGACTGGGACTTGCTTGGCTGCATTCTCAGGAAGTTAGGTATTTCTAGCTTCTAGATGTTTCTACTGAACAGACCCTGACTCAGGAGTGTCCTGATATCCCGATATCTTGAGAACAGAAGCATTCCTACTTTTGCTTTAAAAATCATAATATCGATTCTTGTAAAATATAGAAATTAAGAAAATTAATCCTTTATCACAAACCCTGGTAGCAGAGCACATCTCCCCATAATCTTTTTTATCCTGTATACAAATGAGTATTGTACCTAAGGTGGATGCATTCCTTTTCTTATTTTTGGGAACACCCTACTCTGTCTACAAAGTAGCTGTACTTTCACCACTTTACTTTCTTAATAAATTTGCTTTTGCTTTGCACTGTAGACTCAACTTGAATTCTTTCTTGGGCAAGATTCAGGAACCCTCTCTTGGGATCTGGATCGGGACCCCTTTCTGGTAACAGCTTCTGGGGAGGCCTCAGGAAGCTTTTACTCATGGTAAAAGGTGAAGCAGGAGCAAGAGAGAGAGAGAGTTGGAGGAGGGGAGGGAGGCACCACACACTTTTAAATGACCAGACCTCATGATTATTATGTAATGGCCCATTTTGTCCCTTGTAATAATCTCCACTACAAAGTGTGCTTTGTGAGGTATTAATTTGACACCTTGAGTTTTTATGTGATTCATATTTGCAGGGTATATCTTCTTCCATCCTTTACTTGTAACTTGTTTATTTTTAAAGTGAGGTTCTTTTTTTCCCAAGATACAGATTAGTGATAAATATATTGTGAAAATCAAGATCTTCTTGCAGCTGTGAAACAGTAACAGTAAAAATACCAAAAAAATCAGATGTAGAAGCTAATATGGAACTGAAGTGTTATGCAGAAATTCACAGAATAATTTGTTAGGTTCCTTAAAAGAACCTCAATCAAATTTACTGACAGCCTTTATAGAAAGATAACTTGAAACTAAAGTGACACATTTATATGAAAAAGTATTACTTTATCGCCCCATTTTCCGCAGTAGGGTTTTAGATGAAATTTCATGTCACAAAACTGTTCTGTTGCTAAAAATATTTTGAAAATGGCTATATAGGATGATCTCTCAGAGGTTTCTCAGCTTAGAAATTTTGGAATTCAAATATCTTTCTCTAGATTGAATGGAAAAAGTAAAAAGAGAACAATATCATGGGGGAGGAAAATGTTGATCTCCTGTATTTTTCTTTTCTTTCTTCCTAAACTAACTGGTCTGTGTTGGTTCTCAGCTGTGCTGTTAATCCAGGGAAAAGTTGGCCTACAGGAGAACACATGGATTCATTGGGCCCCAAGGCAGTTTTGAATTGCTCAGAAACAACAGCCAGAATAACTTTTGAAAGAATGACTTTTGAAATGGAGATGATTGAGATCTTCTGACATGGTTTGGTGGTGTCCCCACCTTGTGGAAGGGACCTGGTGGGAGGTGATTGAATCATGGGGGCAGGTCTTTCCCATGCTGTTCTCATGATAGAGAGTGGGTCTCACAAGATCTGATGGTTCTATAAGGGGGAGTTTCCCTATACAACCTCCCTCCCTTTGCCTGTTGCCATTCATGTAAGACGTGACTTGCCTTCTGCCATGATTGTGAGGCCTCCCCAGCCACGTGGAACTGTTAGTTCTCCATTAAACCTCTTTTTGTTTTGTTTTGTTTTGTTTGTAAATTGCCCAGTCTCAGGTACATCTTTATCAGCAGGATGAAAACGGACTAATACATCCTCTGATTTATGTTACTTCTCACTCAAGTTGCTCGAAGTGCCTTCTCATCAAGAGCTGTTTGGGTAGAGACAGACACATTTGTTCAGCCCTATTTTTCTCTGTTTTCTTCTCCTCCTTCCTTCCTCTTTCCCTCCCTCCCTCCCTCCCTCCCTCCCTCCCTCCCTCCCTTCCTTCCTTCCTTCCTTCCTTCCTTCCTTCCTTCCTTCCTTCCTTCCTTCCTTCCTTCCTTCCTTCCTTCTTCCTTTCTTCCTTCTTTGTACAAAAATAAGTGAACTTATTTCTTCTCAGTAGAAATATCAGAATATTTCATAAATTTTGTGAGGTTTCTTTTTCTGAAATTTTTATTTTGGGTTGAGGGGTACATGTGCAGGTTTGTAATATAGGTAAATGCGTGTCACAGGGGTTTGTTGTACAGATAATTTTGACACTCAGGTATTAAGCCTAGTTATTTTTCCATATCCTCTCCCTCCTCCTACCTTCCACCCTCTGCTAGGCCCCAGTGTGTTGGTCCTTGCTATGTGTCCATGTGTTCTCATCATTTAGCTCCCACTTATAAGTGAGTACATGTGGCATTTGGTTTTCTGTTCCTACATTAGTTTGCTAATGATAATCACCTCCAACTCCATCCATGTTGCTGCAAAGGTCATGATGTTTCTCTTTTTCTTACAGATGCATAGTATTCCATGGTGTATATGTACAACATTGTCTTTATCCAGTCTACTATTGATGGGCATTTAGGTTGATTCTGTCTTTTTTAATTGTGAATAGTGCTTCAATGAACATACTTGTGCATAT